ATATTGCACTCTTCTTTCTTTAGATAATTTCTATTAAAACCAGAAGTAACCCCCCCCAAACCTCACACAAAACAGAGCAACCTTACTGGAGAAAATGGGGTTTCCAGATGCTTTTTCATCTTAAAATAGCTGACATAATTGCCTGTAAGAATTGTAATTAAGGCTTGACCCTAATTTGAGTTGGTGGCAAAAGTCAGGTATTTAATGATGTGGTATTAGGTACAGAGTAATTGGCAGAAAGAAGTCAATGTTAGACAGCAGTGAGTATCCAAAATTCCTTTCTGGACTCAAGCTCCACCTGTGGTGTTATTCACCTTTCTGGCCTGTCACCCTTTGAGCCCCTCTGCCCTCCTGTTTTTAAATCCAGACAGTGGATTTTATTCCAGCTGTTTGGACAGTAGCTATCACTTCTCACCTAACAGTTGCCTGAGATTCCAAGTTTTTTGCTTAATGCTCTTTGAATTCTTTAGTTGATATCTCTTTGTCAAGGTAATGGACCACATGTTTTTAATTGGGGAAAGTGACACTATTGCTGTAGAGGAAATTCAGAGATCTTCACTGAACTTGGGGAAGTACCATGACAGAAAATGAATGTTAGAAAATATTCTAATCCACAAGTAATGGATAGATATTCCAGGCAAACAGCTTTGGCATTATTAACTCCCTGAGTGTTGAAAAAATCCTGTACTTGCATGTGATATGTACACTGTTCAAATATAGCAGCCAGTCTGCTCTAGAGGAACCAAAGCCAGCAATAAAAAAGGAACCACAGCTTTTAAATGTCAGCATTTGCTGCATCAGAGAGAACAGATTAAAGGAGCATAAAAATCAAATGTTAGTATGTAAATCTTTACATTATTAATAAAGCATTGTAAAAGAAATGCACCTCATTCAAGTGATTCTAGCATAGATGATTTCTCTGGTACATGAATAAAACAGAAACAAGTCCTGTATTTTCTTTAGGTAGTTCTGATCAATCTCTCTTCTGTCAGGAATTTCAGTTACAAAAACCACATCAGGCTCTGCATTCAGTGATGTCTGCCCTCAGGTTCAGCAAGCAGTAACAGACAGTGCTTCCACTGTTGTGGAAGGCCATGGGACTACACACAGTGATCCCTGTATGTGCCTGGGAGCTTTTGGAATAGAAGCATCATTATATATTTATAAACAAGGACCTGAGCCCTCTCTGTGTTTTTCTCTTCAGTTTTTTATCCCCTTTAACTCCCTCAGCAGAAATATGGGAATCAGCCGTTTATAGGCATCACATCATGCCCTGAGGTGAGGCATTGCTGAAACACACAGACATGGAACCTGCAAGTGCCCCTCAACTTCCAGCTTGACATCAAGCATTTCACAGGAAGGAGCCTTGAAATAGCAAGAAAAAGGCCATAAAGGTTTAACCATGACATAAGCCCATTTGGTATTACTGGTTTTGCTGCCTTCCATTGTCCAGTCATTTTTCACATGAATAAAACCCAAAGCTGCAATCTGTGATGTGGCCCCTGATTTCCTTAGAAAGATTTAGTGTTTGTTTTGCTCCAGACTTGCAGACAAGCTTATGGACTTCAGCACAGGACCTAAAAAAGGAGCAAACCTTGTGTGGTTGGTTTGTCTGAGAACAGATGGAATGGGAAGAAGCCTACTTCCTCCTGTCACAGCTGTGACTCACATCCCAGCTGAACAGCTTCTCTGGCTGTGGAGAGCAAGACAAAAACCAGACAAATAGCACATGAGATCAAAGCCAGAAATTAAAATCAGGGGTTCATCACATAGCATGGTCAACACTTGAAACAGAAATGCACATTTATTACAGAAATAAGACAATTATTAAAAAGTGAGTATATATTCTAGTCTATTACTCACTGAGACCATTTGTGGAAGTTCTGAAGAACTTTCAAGAGTAATAGATATAATAAATAAATAAAAAATAGCTTATTTTGGCATAAATAGAATATACAAATTGTATGAAAACCTACAGTGTTTTTCCCCCAGTGATTTTATACTGATAAGCTGCAAAGTTAGAATTTTGGTGAAGAGGAAAACTTCTCAAAATAAAGTATTTTATTTACTCCCCACTTCCTAAATATAACAATTACAAAACTGTTCTGTTTGTAAAGCACTCCAAGCTAACAGTGACATACATCACCCACCTTCTGTTTTACCCAGAGATGCAGCTGGGTATTTTGGGGTATTTTGGGGTATTTCTGCTTACTGCTGGCACTTGGGTATTTTGAATTATGGTGAGACCCTTTAATAAACTGATTAGAAATACCTGTCCCTGTGTTTCTGTGTGTAACACTGCTATAACCCAGCAGCTGGTGTGGGAGCTGTCCCTGCTGTCAGTGCCCTCTCCTGTGTGTCACTGTCACTTGCACATGTCCTGTTGTGCCAGCCCAGTGTGTTGTGGTCATTTTCTAGGAGGTTTTGGAGAGGGAGGGCTCTCAAATGGCATCACAAACTCAGTGCTTTTGTCACCAGGGACAATAAATCTCTGAGGGTGCCTGGGAGTGTCCTGGCAGGTCACTGCTGGGAAGGAAGGCAGGGTGGCAGCAGACAGGCCACCACACTGATGACAAATTTCCTTTCCTGAAATCCCCACTCACAAGAAGGGGTTTGTTGGAACTCTCTCACTTTTTTTTTTTTTTTTTTTAACTGAACTTTCATGCTATTCAATCTAAAATATTTGACTTTTCCCCTCTTCCAAGTGCCTGTTTGAACTTGGGCTTTTGCAATCAGTTAATGCAATTTTTGCTTACATAGCAGTGGATATAAAAGGCAGCAGAAAGACAGAACTGTAAGCATGAATAACCCTAAACTCTGTCTCATTTGCACACTCACTGCTCACAGTTTATCTGTGTCATTTTTAGTTCTTGGAGACCTGATCTCAAGGACAAGGATTGTTCTGTGTCATGCTGCAGGGCCAAAAAAAGGAATTTTTTCATAAACCTAAACCACTAAATATTATGGATATACACTGAGAAAGCTTAAGGGGATGCTTTGAAAATGTAACAACTCAATAATGTTGACTCACAACATTTTTTCTTTGAATAGAGGAATATCTGAATACCTGAGAAGAATTTTTACGTAAAATGAAATAGAACATGAACAGTTTAGAGAAGATAAAGATGTTCTCTGATGCAACAGAAAAACACAAGTCAGGGCTGAGAAGGAAAAGTGAGATGATGGCATTAAAGTGATGGGAAATGATCTCTACAGCTGCAAATTGCATGTCAATAGTTTTGGTTTCTGCATAATAAAGTAATCAGTGTTTTAGCTAAATTGAAAATGATTTTACCACCATGACAGAGCTGAAATCAAAAGAGGAAGTGTGGGATGCCTTTGAGGTTTAGTTTCACTATCAAAATAATGAGCTAATTTCCAAATCTTCAAGTGACAAAATCTGGTAAATCTCTTCAATTGGTATTCAATTGCATTATCTGCTAATTTCTTTGTTTAAAAGCTAAAGAGTGTTTTATCAATCTCACTATTTAATGAAATAATTAGATCCAAATAAATACTGATGCTAACTTGTTATTATGACCTAATTTAGTAATTATATTGCCTATTTTAGTGTAGAAAGTAATTTACTCTTAATCAAGATTTTAAAATTGATACTGTGTCACTCATGTTGCAATGTGCAACAGGAGCCAGAACTAATAGACTGGCAGACATCTACTGGTAAATATAAAGTTAATCTGCTTCCTGATTTAACCTTTGTGTATCCCACATGGTTTTCCAATTAGTAATGGAAAGCTGCTAAATGTCCTGCTCTGGAATGATTCTTTCTCTATACATCAGCTTGATTCTGTGTCAATAAAATAGTGTTTTATAAGAAGTTTAGGTCAATGTATTGATTTTTCTGTTTCATTTCACTTACTGAAAGTTGATTGAATGGAAACTGTAAAGAACAGTTCTAGGGCAAAAAAAATGGGGCCATGTCCAAAAATGATATTGCTCAACTGTTCATCTGTTGGGACATTTTTGCCTACTTGAAAAGTGTCATGATGGTAATTTATCTCAAAGACCTTCCTAGGAAATGTTTGCAAAATGGTTTTAAAATTTTGTGTGTAACCCAGACGTGAACAGTGTATTTTTAATTCATTATGTAACTCAAATATTGGCTTGAAAGGCAAAGTAAGCATTTCCTTGTGACAGTAGCTGGCTCATTTATCACATGGCTGTGTAAACAACAAAATAACAAAAAAATGCACCCAAACTCAGAAAACATCATTGACATTTCACACTGAAAGAGTGGGTTTAGATGTTTGGAGAAAATTCCCCGTGTGAGGAAGGTGAGGCCCTGGCACAGGCTGCCAGACAAACCGTGGCTGTCCCAGCCCTGGCAGTGACCAAGGCTTGGTTTGAACAGCCTGGGACAGTGCAAGGTGTCTCTGGGTGGGACTGGGGGGCCTGAAAGGTCCTTCCAACCCAACCCCTTCTATCATTCTATGACATCCATCAGTGCAGGTGTCACTGAGCAGGCCCGAGAGCACACCTGGCTCAGCCCCTCACAAAATGGGTTTAGTGACAGTACCCCAGGGGAGGTTAAAGCGGAACATTGCCCAGGGGGCGGCGGGGCTGGAACGGCTCCCCAGGGAAGCGGCCACAGCACCAAACCTGACAGAAAGTGTCCGGACAACGCTCTCAGGCCCACAGCGGGACTCCTGGGGAGTGCTCTGTGCAGGGCCAGCAGCGGGACTCGATGAGGGCCGTGTTGGCCCCACAAGCATCACACCGACACCGACACCGGCACCGGCACCGGGGGCGGGACCGAGGGGCGGTGCGTGAGGGCGGGGCCGCTCCCGCTCCAACGGCCCCGCCCCGCCCGCCTCCCGCGCATGCGCATCCAGCAGAGCCGCGCGCTGCGGCAGCCCGGCCCGGCCCGGCCGGCGCACGCGCGGTGCTGACGCGCGGCCGCGCGCCCCGCCCGGCGGGCACGCGCAGCGCGGGGAGGCGGCGGCGGCGCCCGGGCGCGGCGCGGCCGCGGGAGCGGGGGCGGGTTTATGGCGGCGGCTCTGTCCGCACTCGCTGCCAGGCTCTCCCAGTCGGCCGCGGCCAGGTCCTACGGCGTGTTCTGCAAGGGGCTCACCAGGACCCTCCTCATCTTCTTCGACCTGGCCTGGAAGCTCCGCATCAACTTCCCCTACCTCTACATCGTCGCCTCCATGATGCTCAACGTGCGGCTGCAGGTGGGCGGGGGCGGCGGGGCCGGGCCGGGCTCGTGTCCCGGTGTCACCGGCCGGGCCCGGGGGCGGTTCGCAGCCGCTCCCCGATAACGGCGGAGCGCCCCCGAAGGAGCGCCCGTCGGTGCGGCGGGGCGGGGGCTGTGCCGTGCCCGGTGTCACCGGGCAGTGTCGCTTGGCTCTGCACGGACGCAGCCCCGGAGCTTTGCCCTTGCCCGTGGCCGGGGGCGAGTGCCCCGCTGGGCTGCTCGCTCTGCGCGTCAGCAGCAAACGCGCCGCTTTGCTGTGCCTTCGCCTAAGCCATAGCCGACTTAAATACTAGGAATAAATCGTGAATATGTGCACTTTGATAGCACGGTCCTTACACCTTGTAAGGAGCAGAGAAAACAATTTCCCTCCTCGGTGGATTGGGGTTTTTTTTGAAATCAAGAACAGTTGCAGCACGGAAAATGCAGACAGTTTTAAATATCAATGTTATTGCATTGAAGAAGATGCTTCAGATTGAATTTGTATCTCTCCCGTTTTGAGCCTGTTTCTACAAAACGTGGAACTCTCTAACACAGCTTTGACCTGTTGTAGGGTTGGAGTTTCATTGCTTTTGTGATGAAATAAAAGGTTTAACTTAACTGGCAGCAGGAACAGGCTGTGCACTGTCGCTACCAACATCTGTTCTAGTCAGGATCAGACACTCTTTCTCCTCGTAAACATAGCTGTAATGAAAATTTTGACATCTGGCCAGTGGCCAAGGGCTGAAAAACAAGTCTGGTTAGAGTTTGTTACTTGTAAAAGGTAATTTGAAATGGGAAGAGGTCAAAATGTGGCATCTCCTATTTTTGTTGTTGCGATTTGCCCTAAAATTCTGGAGCTTGAAAATGAGCCAGATGGCCAGGAGTTGTACACGTAGCTTGGTAACCCTGGCAGCTGAAAAAGCCTTGCCTTTGCTGGTTATCAGTGTTGGTACAGAATGGCTCTGCTGGAACACCACCAGCTTTCCTTTGTGCTACAGCTGATTCCTGCTAACTGTGCTGGGCCAGCCAGTCTGACCTGTTCCCTCCGGGAAGCTTTTGTTGATTCCCAGTGTTGTGTGCCTGATTTCAGCTTGCACTTCTGTTTACTTAATTAATTAAGGATTACTTTAATAGTAACCTTCCATGTTAAGCCTCTAATCAGCCCCAGCCTGTCCATTGGTGAAGGGAAATGCTGCTGTTACACAGCGAATCTCTCTGGCTGCTCCTTTGCTGACTCACTTTCATGCCTGTCACCAAAAGAGAGCTTGTAGCAGATTAAACTGAAACTATAGAAGGGCAGCTGGTATTTGGGCACACTTCCTACCCCTCTGGATGTGCTCAAGCAGCCTGTAAGGAGACTTGTCTGTTAGGACAACTGTTACTTTCTGTAGCTGGCTTATTCTTTATGTGAAAGATTGTTAATTGTTTTTGGTTCAGTACACTGGGAACCAGGAAACTGGGTTAGCAGTGTAATAACTTCCTGCATTCTTTCTCTTTAGGTCCATATTGAGATCCATTGACTTGTGACTTGGTGTGCTGCTTCTGCTGTATGCTGCAACTAGAGTCAGTCACTCTTGTTCAAATCCAGCCTGTTGTGAAGCATCAAAGCTGTGCTCGTGTGCTCTAGGACTATGAAGAAAGAAGATTTTACCCAGAAACGAGTATGTGACAATGGCCCAGATCACCACAAGCCAGCAGCTCATCTGACACACGTCCATTCCATGTTGGACAGTTCTCAAAATCATAGTAGCAGTTTACAAGAATTACATAACACCAGGAATTTTTCTCTCTTTAATACTATACCTCTGTCTTCTGTTGGCAAGGAAATGCCTCTGAGCTTCAGTGAATCAGCAGGGACGAACTCAAGTGCAGCTGCTCCTTGGAAGGATTCATTTCATCTGCATTTTTCTCCTGGGAAAGACAATCTCCATAGGGTTTCTCACTGCATTGGTGGCATTTCAGTAACAGGCTGGCTGGAAGAAGCTTGGAGCATCTCTGGAGACTTCAGCGCAGGCTGCCCAGGAGACAACTTTGTATGTTTTGCACAATTCTGGCTGGGAAATTTTCAGTATAATAAAAACCTGTGGTTTCTGGAATTAGAAATGAGCAGTAGCAAAGAGAATGAATTGCAGTTTGTATTTTTTAAAGTATTGGAGCTTGGTGGACTTCCTGATTCCTGTTCTAATCTGGTTGCCTCTCTGAACAACTCTGCTATGGGACTCTCAAACAACCAGAAACCATTTTTTTTCCTTTGTTGCTTAAACCTTGTATCTTCAGAGCAAGCACTTGGATATGAGCAAATGCTTATGAATATACAGTATGTGACTAATAATTCTCACATCATACAGCTAGTAATCTCTGTGCTAGCTTTTGCACTAGCAGGTCTCTGGTATGCAGTAGTGAAGGTAAAAAAGTACTGAGATTTGAATAACAACTATTTTTAATATTAGCAGAAAATAAGAGAGACAAGGTTACAGTTCAGGTTTTAGTGAGAATTAGCTGAAGCAAAAACTATAGTTGTATAATTGCTAGTTAAACTGGCTGATGGAAGACATTTTTTTGTAAGGAATAGCTGCATCTGAGTGTAAAGAACTTCATCATTTTCAGATCTGGGACTTCTGCAGGTCTGCTGATAACACTAAACTAGAACCTGATTTGATTAGCACAGGTCCTTTGTTTTCTATAGAGTTTGTACTAGTGGAGTGTTCTGGCTACTACTATTTATACCCACTTCCAATGAAACTTGTTTCTTGTAGAATTGAATTCCTGCTCTGAACCAACAGCAGCTGATGTATCAGTCCTTAAAACACTTTGAACTGGAAAGCTGTTGGGAGGGTGGTCTTCAATACAGCATAATTGTCAGCAGTGTTCTTTCCAAGGATGGTACTGCTCTAATTTAACAATGCCTTGTGAGCTTTATTGTGCTACAATAGACACTGTAAACAACTTTCTAAAACAATTCTTTTTCCTTGAAAGAGTGATTGTTATTACTGAAGTACAGTAACAGCTTCTGGGCCTGTTGGCTTTGGCTTTGGGACAGGTTTGCCAAAGAACAGGGCAAGGATGCTGGAATCCATAGAGCTGCTGGTGAATAGAATTTTGAGGAATAGGCTCCTGGCGGCACTTCAGTGGAGAAACTCATCCTGCAGTAGGTCAAACTTTGATGTCCAAAATCCTCAGCAGGGGCATTGCTGTAGATCAGCTTAATGTGCTCTAAAGGCTCACATCAAGAGGGAGGTATTGGTGTGAGGGTTAGGATGCATTTTCAGCTTCCCCTTGACTCTGACTTAAAAGTGAGGACTAAATGTGGAGTAAAGTGGTTCACACATCCATTCTGGGTATCCTTTTTGCCAGCTGGTCTTGCTTCATCTTGGAAAGAGAAGAAGTGATGTTGTACTTAGTTTGAACTGAACTTACCTGGAAAGCCAGTGGTTTCCAGTGTGGTGGTTATTGAACTGTTAGCACACATGTAGAGAAGTCCTTGATTATGAAGATAAGATGCTGATTATGAGTCTTAGGGAGAGAAGTGCTGAAATTTTTAAATCTTATTTGAGTGCTGAAAATAAGATATATTACTTTTTATGTTAAGTGATACATTGTGTTTTCATTATCCCCATTGGCTGATTGTTTCTTTTGGATACTAAAAGAGATGAAAAGCCACTTACTTTAATTTAGAAAATAACTTTTCCCTGGTGTGCTTTTAAATGATTGCTTAACTTGTAGACTTTTGACCATGCAATCACCTGTCACAAAGTGACTGAAAGTCCCAAAATAATACTGGATTATGTATCATAAGTAATTACTCTGACAGCAGCAGTTCCCTCTCAGTCAAGCCATCCACTCTGATCTCCACTGCTGTAATTTATCAGCCTTGCAGTGAGTGGTATTAACACAGGTTAACACGTGGTGTTGCAGAGGTTCAAGATTCCTGAAGTGATGTGGATCTGACATCCCAGAACACCAGAAACAAACATTCCTCCAAGTGTCTGTGGCTTGGAGTCATGGTGTTAAGCTGCTGTCTGCCTGTATCTTGACCCAAAAAACACTTGGCAGAGTTCAGGGTAGAGGAATGAAGGCTGGGAGGGGTTGGAGCCTGTTTAAGCTGGCTTGATTGCTAAAGACAACGTTGTGCAACTCCATATTAATCTCTATGCAGCTCCACAGGTACAGGCATACCCTCCATGTATGGTGAGCCTTACTTTAAAATGTGCACACACAGAGTTCTGCACCCAAAACTTGAGTGCTTGGACTTCCTGTAAAAAGGATCCATTGGCACAGCTGTACCTGCAGTTGTTACTTGAGACCTTGTTTGTACAGCTGACTGCTTGGCCTGGAACATTCTCTGCTCTGTGTCATTTGGGAATGACAGTTCTGTACAAGAACTTGGAGGTGAGATTGTCAGGGTAATAGGCAAGAGGAGTAGCTAAAGGCATAAACCCACAGTTTTTAATGCACCTTTTTCTCATGGTGATTTCAAAGGGGAGGAAATGAAACATGAGAGACACCACCAATAAACTAGAATTTAAATATGTGTACAGCAGAGTGCCAAGAGTTTTCTCCTTATCGATGATGAGCCTATGGAGGAGGAGATCTTGGAATATTGAATTGTGGTACATGTCACAGTCCAGCTAATACAGTCCTGTTTTAAGCAAATTCTTGTTTGAATGTGTGGCCTTTCATTACTTATTACAGGATCACCTTAAATACAATACAGCTAAGTGAAATGATGGATGTTTGTTGTGTATTATATGTATATTGACCATAAGATACAAAGAATACTTAAATAAGTGGATTCAATCCATTTTAAGATAGTTTATGTACCTTGCCTTGAATTTTATTGCTTAAAACCTAAAAGGGAATTTTAACTTGAACATTCCTTCTGAAATTCAAATAAAGCATAGTTTGGTATGTTAAAATCTCATGTAACAGACTGCACTTTAAGCCTGGGGAGGCCATGGATTGGAAGCGCTGTTCTTGCACTAACAGAACTGCTGCCCTGACTGAGGCAATGTTTCAATGGCTTTTCCTGTCTGGAGGGAGAATAAGGAACCTGAAGGATGGCATCCATCCTTTGAAACTACACATAAATGTAACACTGTGTGGTTTAGGCCACTGTTCTCTTCCTACAGATGTTTTGATATTAACTCATCTCTAAAGATGGAAGGTGTCTTGGCCAAGAATTGGTTTGTGTGGAGTTTCATGGCTTCACTGTGTCCAGTGTGGAAAACTTTCCTGAGTTAATGTGCTGTTAGGGCTGTCTCAGATGATTATTACAGTACAGAAAAATAATATTCTTAGTAGGGGTAAGGGACCTTTATACTCAACCAAGAGTTGCCTTCATATTTCTGTATTTTTGTCTCTCATCCTTCTCTAGGAAGAGGTTATTTCTAAGCAAAATGTCAGGGTTCTACTAAACAACTTGTGCTGAAATTTCATTGATTAGTGTCCAGATCCTTCCTGCACTACATAGCAAAGTTTTATCTCTACCATTAGAAAAGAAATAAGAAAATACTCAATATTAAGAGAATTTCCTACTAGTTACACTTGAGTGAAAATTTACTATGTGGTGTACTGCTATGAAAAGAAAATATACTTTTAAATGTGTGCACAGAGCTCTGCATGTAGATAAAAAGTGTTTTACCACAGTATGATGTTGGGATGCTTATGCAAATGCTTTTTTACTTTCTGACAGTGCAAAATGCAGTAGAGATGGTGGTGTTTCTTCTCCATGTGGTTTTTAGCCAGTGCAATCTCAGCTATCGTGTCTGCATCATCCTGACCAGGGGACAGTTCCAGCTGTAGACATTTTTTAGCCTTTTGCTTTTTCAGTGTTATTGTTTGAGGTTTGGTGGTTTGTTGTTTGTTTGTGGTTTTTGTCTCTTTTTTTTTTTTAAGTTATCATTAGGACTGTAAAGACAGCACTTTCTTAAACTTTGCCAAAGTTTGCTTCCTTTCTCCTTCTCTCCACCTTTGCCCCTTATAGGTATACACATTTAATTTTTGGAAGAAGCAAGCCTGTATGTACTCTCCTAATATATAATCTTATTGTCAGGTTGCTCCTTTTGTTTTTATATGGCCTGGTCATGCACATATTTCTCTCCCTATAATTTCTCAGCATAAGCTTATGCTGATATTTTGTTCCACCTCAGCAACATTGTCCTGTAATTAATTATGCACAACAAAGTGACAGAAACCATGTAGAGATGTAAGAGTCCATAGTCTCTCATCAGGATGTATGACAGGTGGTATAACTGACAGAGCAGTATGTAGTCAATGTGACATATTTCTGCTTTTTTTCTCTTCAAAACAGCTGCTTCAATTAAAATCCAGTATTTAATTTGAGTATGTGGTACCTATGACAGCTGAGAATTGCAGCTAGAATCTGGGGCTTATAAAACACATTGAGGTTAGAACTTAGTGTAACTTTTAAAAAAATTGAAGAGTACATTAATGAGTAGGTGAATATTTTGAAACCTCTTTTTTCCCCTAAGAGTGCACAGAATAAAATGTGTTCTGCCACTTGTTTCTGTTACAACCAGTAACTGGGGCTGGGGGGAGAACCCTTTTTAGACTGCAGAGCCTCTAATCCTCAAGGAAGAACTGCACTTGCCAGAACTTTAAAATAAACCAAATGTTGCCTATAAAAGTACTGATATTTATGATCAACTGTCATGCTTAAATTACAAGGTCATAGATATCAATCTCCTGACAGTGTGAAAACAAGAATAATAACTTCAGAAGTGCTAGAATAATGCTATCCTTTACCAGCCTGCACTGGTAAGAGAAAATCCTATTGTACTTTGAAATTAATCCTCTACTGCACCCAAAATCTCAATTATCTTAGTATTTTTGGAAGTAGTGATACAAGATTCAGACTAAGATGGTTATTTCATGGTTAATGATGAAGTCAATTTAAAAGCTAAAACATTTTAGAAAATGACCAGAGGGACTTCCACAAAGAAAATCTGCCTTGAAAAGGTCTATTTTATTTGTGTGATCTCTATACATGTATAGTCTGTTTTGCAAATTCCTTCCTTCTTCATGGAAGAGTGCTATAAACCTGACAGCAAAAGTGGTCAAAACCCAAACTTGCAAAAGTATCAGTGTTTCATTTTCTGTCTGTAGTCAATTTTAGCTATTATCAACCATAATACCTAAATGCAATTTAAGCTTTTGTTCTTAAAAGTATGGAAATCAAATATTCAGTGCCTGATTCATCACTTGAAGTTGAGTGAAACCATTTCTTGAAAATGTGTTCTGCTACCTGATGCTGACTAATTTTATGCTGATACTCAATACTTCCTGTAAACTGTGATGTCATCCCTGCACAACAATTTTAGTCTATGGCCTTGGTCTTTGGCCCTATTTTTTTTGATTATTATTTTTTATTGCAATGTGGGAGGTGGAGAAGGCTGGCACAAACCATTTTTTTTTGTTCCAGAGAAAGATGTTTACAACTTTGTATGTATTTTAAAAATGTATTGTGACACTTTTAACTTGGGAGAGAAGTTTCCACAGTAGACTTGAAACCTGAAGAGAGACTTTGGAATATCAGGAGTGCTCCCCAAGCTGCCAGGAGCTGTTGAGGGTGAAGCTGCTCACTCACACCACAGGAGGGAGTTCCACATCAGTCTTTGGAGTATTTTCAGTTAGTACATCTTGGTACAGTGCATTTCAGTTTGCCTTGTCTTATGGATTGTCACTGCAAATAGGTTCATGTACAAAATCAATACACAGCAGTAATGTATTGTAACTGTTTACATTTGAACTCAGAGTACCAATGGATGGGTTTTGTCAAGCTATTTAAAAACAGAAATAAAAATCTTTTTTTTTAAAGACAAGAGGTAGTTTTGGTGCTTCTCATTCCAATTTTCCACTGCATAAATTGTACTTGAAGAGACTCTGTTTCTGACAGAGTGAAGTCAGACAGGGAGTGGCTTTTCCAGAGGTACAATTTGAGAGATATGTGTTTACAGAAACCAAACAAATTTAAAACCTCTGTGAGGATAAAAGGGCTCAATGCTTGCACCTGACCTTGGAAATTTAGTATATAAACTCAAGGCTAGTTTAATGATGTTAGCCACCAGTATTTATTAATGGGCATTCTTTTTACACACTTTATTTTAGTGCGAAGCCTTAACAAGCCAGTTGCTTTCAATGCAGTTTCAAGATATTTCCTAAATAACCAGCTCCAATCTTACAGCACAGCTTCATTTTAAAGGGGAAAGCAAACCATGGTAAATACATGTAATGGCCACAGCAACTCTTGCATCATCCAGGATAAACACTGCTGGGTGTTTCTCTGCACAGTTAAAATCACCATGATATTAACAGATATGCCAGAGCTTTTGTTTCTGCTGAATGAAATATTCCCATTAAGGGAGTAGAATAAAGATGTATCCCCTGCTAAATGTTGAACATTAAAAAACATTTAAACAGGAGCCACTCACCCTTCAGAGATCTCTCTTCTGAAGCTACTATCAGGTGACCTTTTGTTTCTGGACTCAAAAAACTTAATTTTTGTTTGGTCTGAGGATCCCTTGCTGCCACAAGTGATAGTTTTGAGGAAGAATGTTATTGTTATGAGCTGTGTTCTGAAAAGAACTGGTATTGGCAGCCCTGAAGAACAGGCTGATACTCTGAGTACAAAATTAATGTGCACTTTTTTCTTCATGATGAATGCTGAGATCATATTGTCCCTCAAAACAAGCATTTAAACAGAAAAACGAGGAAAAAACTGAATATAATAAATATAATAAAGTTCTATAAAGTTTTGAATGTGACCTCCATGGCTAAGGCAGTGCTATCAGTGCTCCCTGCACATCACTGTGGGTTCCTCATGGCTTTTGGAATTTTGTATGGCAGATCCTGAAATAGTAAATTGCAACCTTTGCCCAAGATGTTCCAGCCACCCACTGTGACAGTGGTGTGACACAGCCTTAATTCCTCATGTTGTCATCACTTTCAGATGGTTTATCAATAGTTTTACATACATTTATATAATCGGGCATGATACCTGCAATAGAGAATGTTAAGGAACTCAGAATACTTTTGTAAATAAACTCAGACAGGCTACTCTGCATATCCAAATCTCTTCCTATTAGGATCTGAAATGCTTTGAAGTCAGATTAAAGTTGGTGGCCTATGACTTTGTGGTAGTCTCTTTGTTCACCTCATACTGTAAAATTCTGTAAGAGGAACTCATCTGTACAGGAGCCCAAATTTCCTCTCTGCAAATCTGAGATTGCCAGAGGAACTTCTTACCAATTTGCACTCATCACAACATTTATCTCTTCAGTATGTTTCTTGGCTCTTGCTTTTCTGGCAGATATTGTAGCAGCTTAAAATTTAAAAACCCCAA